TGCATCAACTTTAGACAAGTATTACCCAAGAGGAGGAGGGGGAAAGGATATCAAAGAGACGAAGGGAAAAGAAAATAAAGAGACTCTTCCGATTAGGAGTTAAACAATATTTCAAAAACGCATCGCTATAAATATATATATAATAATATATTCAATATTATAGGAAGATTTAAAACTTTAAAGATTAAATTGAATTTAAAAAATGAAAAAAGCTTTCAAGCAGTTTATGCATTCAGGATCAAGAAATAAGAATACAGTGTGATACAATACCATTCTGACTGGAAAACCTGATTACAGTTTGTCGCTACGATTTATTTATGAATTTGATTTGAGCAGTCGATAAGTAAAAAATAATTGATCTTCTACGAAGTTTATTAACGCGTTGAAATTTCTACAATTTAGCTTTGCTAAGACATCGTTCTTTAATTAATTAATAAACATTTCTCTAGGCTAGACCATATTTAAGAATGAAATGGAAAGATTATTTTTAAGAAAAATTTATTTCAGCTAGGATATCGTAATGAATGAATGATTATAATAGCAAAAGCTGGAAGAGATTTAATATCTCACAAAGTTATTAAAGGAAATTTAAATGATAGAACAAGCTGGAAATAAACAAGAAATATTCGCGAGAAGAGAAAAAATGGAAAGAGATTGGGAGTGGTGGAAATTATAAAAAAGCAGAAATACAGCTCTCCGACGACAGATGAAACTGGAAGATTATAAATGATGATGTCAGCGATGGTAGCAATGACTATTTGGAAACAGTGCAAGGAAAACTGCAACACACTACCGGTCGGTCGGTCCCTTCTTTTAAATTCTTTCGCCATTTTTGACATACATCAGAAGACCGAGAATCACAAATCTCAACTAATAAGTTCACATTGAGTGTCTTTTCTTGTAAATTCCATGCAGCATAATGAGTCATCAATGAAAAATGGCAAAATGAAGAAGTTCAACAATTCTCCGACTTCTTCTATCAATAATAAATGAATGGACAATTCACAACACAACGCATGTGTTAAACACTCCAAAATTAATTTTTATGATATGTCACCTGTAATAACAACTAACATATTGTTTTAAATTTAATTTCACTTTGTTCACTATAATTACCACAACCTATCTTAACTGGCTATGCCGTATCTAAATTGAAGAGATTTAAAATAAAATTTCCATTCAAACATGTTTAAGATAAGAAGGAATAGATGAAAGAATAGAAATAACAAACCTTAGTCTCAATCTATCATAACATTACCTTTCTTTTAAATCTCTCTCTTCACATCTTCGCGATGACTTTCAGTAAACAATAAATAACAAACATTTCCTTTCCTTTTTTCTAATCAAAAACAATAATTCTCATAATGAACTAACAAATAATAGTTTTGAGTTGTGTTTTGTGTTAAGACTAATAGCCATACTTGCATATATTGTCCCTAAGGCTATTTTTTCATTTACATAAAAGATCAAAAATTAATTAACAGATGGAACAATGCTAGCAGTAGAATCTTCGTGGATATAGAATTTCATCCCATGAATAATATCAACAAATGGGTGAAAGTAATCAGATGTGATATTTGGTTGGAAGGCAAATCAAACAAAAATAACTTTCCAGAAATTCTTTCTTTCTATGCTTCATATGCTTATTAGACGTGTATTTTCCATACTGAAAAGGAATTCCTATCGTAGGAAATATCATTGATGAAAAAGAAAAATATGGTTGGAAAAAGGAAATTGATCAACTAACTCTTCTTCCGTATTTTCAGCTTTCTTTCAAAGAAAAAGATGAAGAAAAGGATAGTTTGGAATGAATAAATAAAAAAATAATGAATGATTGAAAAAAGCATTGATGAAAAGTGATTATTCAAAGAGTGTTAAGGATGATTATGTGTAGGTGAACAGCTGTTCTATAAACATTCAATTTCATATGCTTCCTTGCACCTCCAGAAGAAACTAAGATTCTGCTTGTTTATATTTAGGATTATTAATTTCTTTTTTTTTTTTTATAAAATACGATGTAAACAAAACTTTTCTTTTAACAAATTGAAATAATAATATTGATGGATGATGAGTCATGCAATCCGGATAATATTATCATGAAAAGAAGACATTGTTATATTGGAAGTAATAAACAAACAGAGAAACCTATTAAATGAAGCAAATTTAGACTACGGAAACTTAGAACACCTTCTCGGCTGGAATATATTCGGTTACTATCAGTTTATAAGAGTATTCCTACAATTAAGACGCTTCAACAGCTGTTGCCTTTTTAAAATGATTTTTAACCTAAACTATTTCGAATTTCAATTAATTTTACAAAATGCATTCATGGTGAGTTGAACTGAGCAGAAGCATTTCAAGGCGAATCAGTGAAAAGAACGGATTCTATGATAAATGCTACGATCCGATCGTGCCTATCAACTGATGGTAGTTTGATTGAAACAGTTCCTACGAAATCATAAAATATATTACGATCAGAGAGAACTGACGTCCTACATTTAACCCTCTTTTCCCTTCTTAAGATAAAGGTATTATTTCAAAATTTCATGACAATAGAAACTTCCATAAGATAAGGTAAAGAGAAAAGAGTAAAGGATGTGTAGAAAGAATAAATATAAAAATACAAATTATTATTAGAAGACAGAAAATTTCAAAAGAAGAACAAATGCTATAATAGAAAAGAAGAAATGAACGTATGAGTTGTCATGCTTAATGAGATGTCAAAAATCGATAATGAATCGTTGATATTTTACCAAAGAAAGTTGTAAACAGAGGAAAGAGAGAAAGAGAAATAGATGAAATGATTTAATTTACAAGTTTTTAAAAGCAAACAAGCAAGAAAACATAATCATATTAACAAACATCATCATCAAATCAAATATTATCATCATTATCAACATCATCACCAAATCATACATCATCATCATCATCATCATCATCATCATCATCATCATCATCATCATCATCATCATCATCATCATCATCATCATCATCATCATCATCATCATCATCATCATCATCATCATCATCATCATCATCATCAATCATCATCATCATCATCATCATCATCATCATCATCATCATCATCATCATCATCATCATCACCATCATCATCATCATTATCATCAAACCAATCCAGCTTAAATCAATCCATCTGTTGCTATTTCAACAAAACATTTTTTCCTATTCAAACAGTACGAAAAACTGCTCCATCACAAGTAACTAATCTATAATTTAATATTCAGTATAAACTCTTCATGTCTTCTCACTGTAATAAATTCTTTTTAAACATGATAGAAAGGCGGTAGTATCTATTATCATGTCAGAAGTGATATCATTGTACAGGAAGAATTGCAAGTATATACGTGGGAATTATACAATAGCTAAATTAAAAGCATGAAATGATAATTAATGATGGCGGTAAATCAGTTTGGTTTATCATTTTCAATCGAAATACGCACTTCACATTCGTCCAGTTTCATTCAAACCGCACTAAACATTTTTTTACTTTCTATTGTTTTACTATTGCAATTATGTGATAGCAATTGTATTACCCATTCAATCGCTATTTTAGAATAGAGCAATATTCAGTATAATTCAGAGAATGTTAAAGCGAAGAAAGTATTGGACGATGAATTCAAGGAAATGGTTGCAAAAGTACAAAACGAAATACATAATAATATGGCAGATGAAGAGGTAAAATCGACGTTGCCGTCATCGTGGAATATGCTAAAATTACAGTGAATCGAAAAAGAAGCTTAAAAGCAAATCGAACCAAAGGAATTATCAATCATTCCCAATCCAAAGCATTTTAACTGAAGATGTACTAAATCATTGTTTGTGATTTTATTGTGTTTTAATTTTTAAGAAGTTTACACAGAGAGAGAGAGAGAAAAAAAATTTTAAATTTAAACATTTAATAATCACTTCTACTATATGTTTTAATATGGAATGCTTGTAAAAATTAATGTATCGAAATATAGAAAAATTCGATCATTTCTATTGGAAAAAAATGAAAAAGTTAAAGTTGCTTTATTTATTTCTTCAACATATAGTGGTGAAAGCATTCACTTAATATCATTTAACTGATAAGTTCAATTAACTTATAAAAAAAATATCGTTTTATCCTCATGAACTGATAAGAGACGATTTCTATATTAGACTTAAAAATTCAATATTAAAATAAAGCCAATTTTCCAAGCAATGAATGTTATTCACCAATCTCAAAGTAAGTAAAGTGTCAACAGAAAAATGAACGTATATATTTATATATATATATATATATTTGTTTATTAATTTATTAATAAGTATAATAGTGAACTTAAAGTGCTTGCATAATGCAAACACTGCAAACTACTTCGTATGAATACTGAAAGGCCTAGTAAAGATATCTCTGAAGACCAAATATCTTTACATCTATTGTATGATTTGTAAAGCACACCAAAACTTGCGGACAAAATTGTGATCAAACAACTTGAAGATATTTGAAAAACCAACAAATGCAGTTGGAGTTAGGCCAATCGAGCTACTATAATAATTGCTAGCGGAATATTGAAGATTTAGAAAAAATGAACAACCTTCCCAAAGGATTCCGTCGAACACGACTGACAGAGGCATCCTGTCTTGACAGCTGATAACGGTCATTCTCCGCAGTGCTCACTCGACAATTACCCTCCAATACCATTACCGCATGATCGGATTGACGTTTTGAAAAACCATTGGCAGCATTACCCTGGAAAATAACGAGTTCTTTTCTAATTTTTTTCAAATTTCAATGAAGGATTTTATTGAAATTATTGTATTAAAGATTTCAATGTTTTGTTCTGTAAAGTCTTCATAAAGGCGCCGAAAAGTAGCATCAAATGTCTGTAATTTTTAGCCGAGAATAAAAGATGCACACTTACAATGGCAAGTTTGAATTTGTCCTTTGCAGGCAATGATAAAGAAAAAAGTGGTTGTGGATCGATGGGTGTCATGAATGATGAGGTGACAGTACTTGTTCCAGCAGTGGCATCTAAATATCCACCGGCAATTGTTGTACATTACTTAAAGGAGCAAGTTGCCGAGATTGTTCTTATCGTTCCTCCAAGGTAACCATTATCGTTTTATCTCTACTTTCGTATTTCAAATACTAAAATTCATTTATTTTTCAATTATCTCTCGGTAAATTTGACAAATTTTCCCGCGGTGTATTTTTAATAAAATTAAATGACAGAAACTTACAAATAAACATATTAGAGTAATAATAAATGGTCCATAAAAGAAGGGATGAAGAAGGAAACGTTGAGATTCCGATTCAAAATATACTACTCTTTGAGGAAATCAATTGCAATTTTCAATTTGAAAAATATATTCTAATTCATCACATTGAATTCTGATAATAATTCTTTAGAGGCATGCCAAAATTTGGGCATATGCACAAAGAAATAGTAAATCATTGATTTAAGCCCCGAAACTCTTCGTTCCCAAACCAACAATTCCCTTCTTTAAACTCCTCGAATGATGAAATCTTGCAATAAACGATCATTTGATAAAAGCATTTTTTTTTAATTCAAATGTATAAAGATGTTTTAAGGTAATCTCGTCTCGGAATAATTCGGGTAGGATATAATATCTAGCTAGTATCAGGGAATACAAGATGCTCTGATAAGGCTATATAGCTATTATGTCATAATTACTTCATGTAATCATGAAATAATGCTTATTTTGATTGCCACTTATTAATGCGTTGCCAACAAATTTTCTATATTTATTTCTATGAATATTTTGGAATTTATCCAAAATTTCAGCCATTTTTTTGATTGCAAATAATATAGCAATATTAAAAATATAAAAATACCACTCCTCAATAAGTAAGCCTTGAATTTATTCACAAAAAAATTTCGAGAATTTTCAGGAACTTCTTTGACTCATCCAACATATATATAAATTGAACAAACAAAAAGGAAAACAATCCAATTACACAAACATATAGAAACAAGCCACCAGACGTTAACAAACTGATTGCTATCTAAATGAATAACATTTGAGATTCTGAAAAGGAGTAGGAAAAGAGCAATAGAACTTCTTTCCACTTCTCAACATTTCTATTTTTACAATACCCTAATAGTTATTCATCGTTTTCGAAATGTGATAAATTTCCTAGAAGTTATGTGTTGAAATTTAAGCTATAAATATTTGAAATAAAAAAAAATTAATCAAAACTTGAATAAATTAATTAAAAATGAAATAGCCAAAGCTCCATCTGTACATTTCATCAAAAACGATGCCATTTAATCATTTATCACTTATCATTTCATGATAAGTGCAGAATGGGCGGTATGCAATATAATCTGATGATTAAAATACTCAATCATTAGGACGATCATAAGTCTGTCCTAATTTTACGGCTTAAAATTTAAATGGCGCTTTGCGTTTTATTTCTAAGTAGCTTTATTCCTACCAGAATGCCACATTTTCTGCATATATCCCAAAAGTAAATGTAAATTTTAAGAGAGAAATATACCGGGAATAATTTGCTAAATCGAATAAATGCTGCATTTCACTAGTATTAGTGCTGCTGAAGTTTCCCTTAGGATAGCTGGAGTACAGATATATTTGGTAAAGTGAATGATTAGAGGAACTGTAGAACTAAACGTCTTCAACCTATTCTCAAACTTTCAAAGAGTATGATGTCTTACTTCTTTAAATAATAATAAAAGAAAGATTGAAGCATAGACATTGAATGTATACTCCAACTGAGCCATTTTTGATAAGCAAAACTGGCGCTGTCTGGGATGAACCAAACTTCTATAATTCTACCAATGGATTGGTTCCATCTATTATGATTAGCCTTAATGCCAACTTAATGATTCATTTGTTTGTTTGTAAAATCACAATAAGCAAACAAAATAATAGCAAGCAAAAAATATGGCAACAAAAAAATCATTTTTCTACTTAAAACTTCAATAAATTCAGCATAAATAGAAGTAAAGAGATTAATTAAGAAGATCAAATATTTTGCAATTTATATCTGTCAGTTTGCTGATATGATTGGTTGACTATTTGACCTACTGATTCACCTAACTTTCATTTCACTTAACTCATCCTCCCACAACATTATAACACTTTTGTGATTGTTATTTCATATTACTGTACTTTACGTTCTCTATAAACGCAACTTATCGAATGACGAGAAATGACGTTCAGTTGCTCAACACGAGAACACATCAGAGAATATTTACATGACAGACAGATATCTTTCAAGGTCATTATCATATGCTATGAAATAATTGAATTTTTTTTGTATCACTACCAATTTTTCTCATATTTCTTTATCCTATCGTGCTAGAAACATTCATATTTGCATGCGAAATTCGACACTTTTCAACAATTTTGCTGCAAGAAAAACTTCGATGGCTGTCAACACTGAACCCCAAAAAATATTTCTTAAAATATTCTTTTCCTTTTATTGCGCTTTTCAAAAAGAAATATACAAAAGAACAAAATTTAGGCATAAATGTTTTCGGGAAATTTTTTATAACTTCGATTGATTTCAAAAACAATTTGTTAAGTTTCTTAAATTTAACGCTTCAAAAAAGAAAAATCAATAATTCGCAATAAGCAATAATCGAAAACTGTCATACATTTTCTAATATATTAAAATTGAAGACTTTGAGAAATTCAATAATGAATGATGAATTGAACCAAGTTATAAGACGGTAGAACATTTAGATTCTATCGATTTCCTTTTAAGAATTAAGAAGCGGGGAGAAGTGGAATGTATTGCGAAATAGTTGGTATACGAATTCTTATTTACAAAAGTGAGATGGCACATTTCCTCTCTTGTAAACAAGTATTTTAGAAGTATCGACTGAGCGCGCATAAGTAAATGGCGATAGAGGACAGAGGACAGAGGCCAGAAAGCAGAAGATAACAACAAGAGAGATAAAATGCTTTTCTCCACGACACCCTTTTCCTTTTTGAACAGCCTCAATAGGAAAAATTTCCGCTTTTCTTCCCCAGAAATAGCCAAGTTTGAAAGAAACACTAAAAGTTGTTAACACTTAGTATGAGAATTGAACATTCCTATGAAAAACGAATCATGGAAATCAATAACTAATATCTGTATCATAGCAAAGAGATTATGAATGGCCAATAAATGATAAAGAAATAGTCGAAACCTGAAGTGATAATATTAAGTCTGAATATCTCATCTGCAGGCCAGTTAGAAGTAACTTTTTAGCCATTAACTGAGCATTGGCTTAACGTGTGCGTCTGCGCTGTGGGTGTGTATGTATATGATAATGACGACAAAGGCAAACGATGAGGACAGATATTTGCAATTGATTCGGTTAGAATCAGCAATATTGCTGGCATCGGTCTTGCAAAGGATTGGCTGTTGTCAGAAATAGACCTCCAAACATCATTAGGCTAGAAAGAGATGGTCAAAATCGCAACATACTGATAGAATTCTTAGGCCATTATATATATATATATATATATGTATGTGTATATGTGCAAACTGCGCAGACCCATGCACCTATTGCCTCAAAGCCAAGGGAAAAGGATCGAATTTTCCCATCGCTCTCTTATCAAAGAATAAGAAAGCTTATTTATAAACTTTCCAAAGATGTTCGAAAATTTTTTGTTGGCCTATTACCCACATATATGCATTGTATACGCGCGCAATGATTTATTTAATGGAGGAATCTTATAAAGTAGCATTTCCGGAAGATCTGTTTGGTATCAAAAACTATCTGTCTGATATTTGCCAATCTATAAGCTGTTAATTCCGTAAAGACATAAAAAGCAACCTGACAATGATAATCACATCTGGCTTTTTAGGATTAGAAGCCGTATGACTACTTCTGGCTAGATATGATTGTCATTGTCAGGTCGCTAAATGCCAACTTAAACCTTGTCATAAATGAAAAAGTTCATAAAATAAGCATGTCATTAAATTTTAAAAAATATATGAAATGATAGGCCTTAAGGACAAGTCAGTGGAAGAGCCTATACAAAAAAACAGCGGCTTACTACATTAGATTTACTCAAGTTTCTCATTAATTTCAGTTAAAAGACCCAAAAAGAAGTAATCGTCGAACGCAAGTGAAGATAGGATGTGTGAAGGGAAATGGCTTGAAATGTGATATGAATTCTACGACAATGTAACAATTTGGAAAACTTCTTATACTACACTTGAGCTTCCAGAAACAGTTCACCTCACCAACGTTTCAATGCTATTTTCTTTTCCAATCTTCCATTGCCAAGCTATATGTTCCTTCATTCTTTGATCTAAACCCGATATAGAATTGTCAAATGTTAAGTTAATAAATACTGTAACAATGATTGATACTTAAAAGGTTTTAAAGTTGTTATTCTACTCTAATTCTCTTAACTATGAGAAGTGATATTCATTATAGGCTTTTAATTAATTAATGAATTTCAAAAGATATAAGGATTCAAGGATTAGCCGTAATAACTGTTGTGGAATGAAGAAAACTGATGAAATATTAAAGATAATTAGCTTAAAAACGGGATAAAATTATGACGTATGAAATGTACGACATATGAGCGTAACGAAGGCTGCAACCATGTGGATAACTCAGCATTTGCAGGAGGAATATATCAACTTGCAACTACTTAACCTGACCGATATCTTTCTCTTTCACATCATTTTATGACTTCAAACGTATTTTTCAGCTGACTTTCACTGCTCTATTATTATTCGATTTAATAAACAGTGGTTAGGTAACTGAATAAATTAAATTAACAATAGTTGCATCTTTATAATTAATTAACACTTCAGTGATTATTGACTTAGCATTTGACATACTACCGACAATAACAGACCAAAAGATGGAGAAGTATTACTGAGTGAGTGACTTTTAACTTGTTCACTTAAAGTATTTTTAAAATTTAACCGAGAAAAACAAACTTGAAAAGAAAAAGGAATGTTGGACAGAAATGCTTACTTCACAAACACAAATAAACA